CATCAGTGAGATACTAACACAACGCCTTAGGAATGCGGTAAAAAGAGCATTCCCTGCTGCCGAATTACGCTGTGTCTTCAAAACCACTCCTCTTTTGCGTTCGGGAGTAAAAGACAAACTGCCTGATTTCGCCTCTTCCATGTGTATCTACCAATTTAACTGCTCCTGTGGAGCCAGTTACTTGTAGGCCGTACAATTAGGCGTGTTTCTCGTCGAATTTTCGAATATCACCCTGTGTGGTTAAGCAAAGGACAGACAAAATCTATTCACAGCGCTATTCTATCTCATCTTATGGATACAGAACACAAGATTGATGTTAACCATGATTTCAAAGTCATTTATCGCATACCAGCAAATCTCACTTTCGCCTTAAGAGTTCGACTACTAAATATTGCTGAGGCTGGCCTTTGGGATCCATATTAAGAAGCCTAATTTGTGCATCCAAAAGAAGTTAGTTCAGACATTATCCTTACCTTGGCCATCTAGGTTTGAATGATCCTGAATTTTTGTGGAATTTTCCTAATTTTAGTTGATATTCTATTTTTTACGAGTTGATCACGGACTTATATCAGTTGGAGAACCATTGAAAACCAGCCAGGGAGTACTGGACAGCTGCTGTTTCATCCTAGTTTGGGAATCATCGGAAGTACGCACCCACTGGGATTCGAACCCAGGACCTTCCGGTTACAAGGCAAGCAATCTCGTATACCATTCAGCCACTGGGACCCGATTCAATGGCTCATGAATTCTAACTTCTACCAATTCGTGATTTTAGCGCGACCCCAACTATTGTCGTTGGTGGGACATCCATCCACACACGTGACTTCTAATTGGACCTCACTGGTCACGACTTCTCACTAGAAGAACTCCAGGAAGCTCCAACCTGATGCTCGCTAGTGACTTGCTACAGGTTGGAGCTTCCTGGAGTTCTAGTGAGAAGTCGTGACCAGTGAGGTCCAATTAGAAGTCACGTGTGTGGATGGATGTCCCACCAACGACAATAGTTGGGGTCGCGCTAAAATCACGAATTGGTAGAAGTTAGAATTCATGAGCCATTGAATCGGGTCCCAGTGGCTGAATGGTATACGAGATTGCTTGCCTTGTAACCGGAAGGTCCTGGGTTCGAATCCCAGTGGGTGCGTACTTCCGATGATTCCCAAACTAGGATGAAACAGCAGCTGTCCAGTACTCCCTGGTTTTCAATGGTTCTCTAACTGATATCAATCCGTGATCAACTCGTAAAACATAACTAATCCTTACAAACCAAACTATAGAAAAGATATTCTATTTGCTATTATTATTATTATGTAAGGATCTTTAATGAACTGTAATTCCATTGATCTTACTTTACAAATCGATATTATTTAAAAAACACTAATATTGTTATTGACTACTACTCTAGAATATTCTATGTATATTAACATGCATATATAATTGTAGAGCCAGAAGAGGAAATTATCGAAAAGGATATTCTTTGCTCAATTATTTTGGGTTTTATAGATGTATGAATGAATATTTTCACTACATTGTAACTATACTGTTCTTCGTTATTACTATTCCTTTTGTCTCATATCCCTGTTTACTGTCTCTATTTTGCATTTCTTCTACTTTCTTCTCTTGCTTTGTGTGCGGAGATTTGAACTGCTGCACATCAGTGCAAAGTTCCATGTTGAAAACACTCAGTCAGTCTAACTTGGCGTGTCACAAAAAGCACCTCAAACAAGCTACAGACCTTCATTAACAGATGTCTTCGCTCAATACTCAAGATCAGATGGCCGGAAAGGATCAGCAACAAAGATCTCTGGGAGCGAACCAACCAGGAACCGATTGTGAAACAAATAGGCAGGAAGAAATGGAGATGGATTGGCCATACTCTGAGGAAACCAGCAAGTGACATCACTAGACAAGCCATTGCTCGAGTGGAACCCGAAAGGGAAGCGACGAGTTGGTCGTCCAAGGGACCTGGAGGAGATCATGTGAAGAGGAGATGAAAGCATGTGGGCAGACCTGGAGCCAAGTGAAAACTCTAGCAGAGAACCGAACGCAATGGAGACGCATGGCTGAAGCCCTATGTTCCTCTAGGAACTAAAGGAAATAATAATAAATAAACAGTCTAACTATTCATGGACGAAAACCTAAATTATGTCTTCAGAAATGTTTTGCCAAACCCCTTTCTTTACCTTAGTCCTCATAATGTTCTTTTATTTTATTTTTTACGAGTTGATTACGGATTGATATCAGTTAGAGAACCACTGAAAACCAGCACTCAAGTACTGCCAGACAGTTGTTTCATCAGCCTAGTTTGGGAATCATCAGCAGTACGCACCCACTGGAGTTCGAACCCAGGACCTTCCGGTTTCAAGGAAAGCCAGCTTGTATGCCATTCAGCCACTGGGACTCGATTCAATGACCAACCCATGAATTCTAACTTCTATCAATTCGTGATATAGCGCGACCCCCACCAATGTCGTTCTATTTTATCACTTGAATTCATTCCATTTCACTTCACTTTCGCAGTCTTTATTGTTATCATCATTCTTATTCTTAATTTTTTAGACAACACATGACCTACAATTTAAAATCTCTATCCCAGTTCACTTATTTAATTATCTTTAAAAGTTTTGTAATTCATCCAGTTCAACTCTACCCCGTCACCGTAGTACATCATTTTAATTATCTTTATTCTTATCATGATATATGCAATATTGACTGAGCGATTTCTCAGATTATGAAGAGTGTGCATCTCTGAGAATAGCCTTTACTAGTCGACCATTACTGTTCAGTAACCTGAAGGACAAGATCCCACTGTTGACCATCTCTAAGTGTGTTTATCAATTCACCTGCTCATGTGGAGCTAGGTATATCGGTCGTTCGACTCGAGTTTTGTCCAAAAGGGTGCAAGAACACTAACCTGCATGGTGGTTACGAAGAGGTGGAAGTGGAGCAGTAAGAAGCGCGATCATTGAACTTCGTGCCTATGCCTTTAAAGTCATCTACAAGGCAAAAAGTAATTTCCCGAAATCACCACGTACCCGATACATCTGTATTTTTGAAGTCATCTTTGGCTATCAAAACAGAAAAGCCAGAGCTCTGTGTACAGAAAAAGTTCGTTCAAACCCTCCAACTTGCATGGTCTTAATCCCTTTATGCTAAAGTATGGTAATTGATATAAGTATAAAACTTGGGCACTGTGGTAAAGTATAATTCCATAATGGATAAGAATTTATTTTGATAAATCACACAGTGTAGTACAGTTATATTAACTGATGACGTTTCGAGCACAATTTATTGCTCATAATCATATCAAGTTAATCACACGACTTCCTAAATTCATTTATATAGTTCCATTGTTTTTCACTTGATTTGATTGGTAGTATTATTTTCCATATTTCAGGTATGAGTGATGATTCATTCCTATTGCATGTGTTGGGTGTAGATTCGATGAACAAAGATTCAGTAATCAACCTCTCTTTCCACCTACCTAGATTACTTTTTAGAATTTTAACCCTCTCCCACCCTGTTGTGTAATTGTGTGTTCATGCATGCAGTGTAATTGCTTAGATTTTTTCTAAATTACTTATCTTCTTGGGTGGGGTCAACCATTCTTACCTTAGCTAAATTCTTATGTTCTGACAATCTGACTACCCCTGACCTACTAGTTTGACCTATGTAGTTGACCTCACAGTCATTGCAGGGTATTTTGTAAATTATATTATTTTGTCTAATTGGGTCCACTGGGTCCTTTAACCTACAGAGCTTGTCCCTGAGTGAGTTTGTAGGTTAGCATGCCACTCTAATTCCTGCCTTATTTAGAATCCTACGTAGGGTCTCAGATGTCCCCTCCTTATATGGTATGGTATGGTAATCCCTAATCATATTTTGGCTCTACCAGTTTTTCATTTTTTTCATTTTATCTATTCAATTTGTATACTCTTCCTTTATTACGACAATAGTTACTACTACTATTCTCACTTTGAACTGTCCCGGGTATTATTTCACTTGTTCCACTTGTCATTCGAAATCAATTCTTTTTTACAACGTTAAATTCTATGCTATCAAATTTCACACAATATTACGTAACGTTTTTATTTTATTCGATTTGTCTACTAATCCTATAATCGCACACCCTTTCCAAGTTCCATGTGCGTCGGTGGCACAGTGGTTAGGACTCTCGCCGACCATGCACATGGTCCGGGGTTCGAACCCCTGCCGGCGCACACCCGATATCTATGGTATGCCTGAATTTGGGCAACCGATATCCATGCTGAAAGTTCCACACTTGTACTGAAAATACGGTGTGGAAATCAAGCTGTAAATCAAAAAAAAAAAAATTCTATGAATTATTCTATATATGACATTAATTGCTTTGCCACTTGACATTTACCTATGACTATAATCACAAACATTTTAGTTTTAATTACATTTCATACTATTATTATTATTATTTTATGCATTCACACCTATGTCAATTCCACACGGATATAACTTCTTAAAAACAACCATATATATACGATTGTACAGCCTGATAATAAATTCGTTGTTGAAAGAGTCTCTTCGCTGAATCACCACTTGTTTTGATTTTCTAAGTGTTTTATTTGTCACACGGTATTAATAAAAAAAAATAAACAAATAAATATAGTCACAATATACCTTAGAAAATCACTGAAATCATAGGTATTAGTGGTAGTGGAAAACATATCACTCACTAAATCACAACACACCAAATGGTTAGAGAGATAAAACTTTTGCTTTATTGGCCCCCCCCACGCATGCATTCATTATTAATTATTTCGTTGGCTGAAAATCTATTGATTTGTCAAGGTCACCACCTGCGTCCACCAATAGGAATATTTTGTTTATAAAACACGTATTGAATATTATTTGTCAATTAACCAATATAAAGACAAGGCCATAGGATAGGGCTGAATAACAATAAATCAGTTGAAAAATACTGACAAAGTAGTTGATATGCTGTATTAACAACGGGTTGTAATTCACAAATGCAGAATAAGTCAGCAATATATCAAAATAATAATAGTAATAACCCCAAATCGAGAAGCAAACATCCGAAACGATGTTCTCTAATCATTTATCATATCAGTACAGTGTTATTATTCATAGGCATTATTGTTACAATAATCGGATTAGCTACGAGCAGACTATTTCATGTTTATATTTATGATCATCGTAATCCAGCGAAATTTCATCATGTACACATACCAGTGGGTTTATTTTCAATTAGTACACATGTTACATGGTTATCTATGGAAAAGTCTGTTTTGCCGTATAATCTTGAAATTAGTGGTAAGTTGAATCGCCATTATTCCATCAAGTCGTTTATTTTTATGTGTGTATAACATTGTTGTTTTTGGCCTAAGTAGTTCATCTAACTAACCGTGTGTTTGACGTTGCTTCCGACGTAGTTCTTATCTTTACTGGTTTTTATGGTGACTGCAGATACTGGAGGAAATCTCACATAGATGCAAAATACTCAACTAATACAGATGATTGGTTGGAGGATTTCCTTATGAGCTGACCTCGGTTAGAGAACCATTGGAAAACCTGCACTGGAGTACTGGACAGCTGTTTCACCCTAGTTTCGGAACTCCGGCGAAGTTCAACAATAGCGCCCCAGGAGTGCGAACGCTCCAATGACCTTGAACGCGTGCTAGTCATTGGCTAACGGCACCTGTCATTATCATAGCTGAAATATCAATGCTATTCACCAACTTAGGAGCAAATTTCACCCAGATCACATTTTTAAGTACTGTTTGGACAATGTGTTAATAGCTCGTTAGGGTTGGGATTAGGATCAGAGTTATAATTAGCATTAGGGTTAGAATTACGGTTTGGATAAGTGTTATGATTAGGGTCAGGATTAAGGTTAGGGTTACGATTAGGGATAGATTTAGAGGTGATGTCATTCATTTTAATTTGTTTTATTATCCACATTTCCCTGGTAAGTAGTTGTCGATCCTCTTACTGGAAACCATAGTAATTCAACCGAGGGCTTTTGGGGAAGACTGCACAACAGGATAAGAGAGATAAACGATTCACAAAAACAGCTCATCTTCAGTCATCTCGGTGAATACGTGTACAGAAACTAGTCTAACTTGGCAACTGATACTTTTCATTATAGCTGGGACGTATTTTTAACTCATGTATCAGAGAAAGATACCCTGTTTAATGTGTTTTCCTGCATTTTCTTGTAAACATACGTCATTTTTCATGCAAAAATTCCTCATTTTTATGATTGGCCGGCTCAAGGACACTCGTACGTTCGCATCCCTTGGGACGCTATTGTTGAACTTTGCCGGGACTCCTCATCAGTACGCGCCCACCGGAGTTTGAACTCAGGACCTGGTTATAAGGCGAGCTCGTAGACCATTATACAGATGAGACAAGAATAAAGAAAATATGGCACAGTTAAATAACCTTGAACCAGCCAATCAGATCTCTCCCTCAACATTACAAATAAAATACTTTTCATAATCTTCGTTGCAAGTTCCATTGGGATTCAGAGTTAGGGTTAGGGGAGGCTTATGGTTAAGGTTAGGATAAAACTTACAACGATGATTATGAGCAGCATACATTTGAAATACTGAGCAATGTAACTGTCGTTATTAGGTTATAGTCATTAATAAAGTCATTGATTCATCAGAATTAGTGGATCCCATAACTGGTACTCATAGGGATTCTGGTTTATTCACTATATTCACTCCTATGGAAAACTGAGACCTCTTTCTGCAGCATATTAAAGACATATATACCCTATATAATTCATTTTTTAAATGTATATATCCAGTAAACGTACTTTTTTAATACTATAAATGCCACTTTTTACTTAGAAGCACATGATTAGCAGGCTGAAGGTCATTTGACTGTGATGTATATTCTGTACTGTGGCCATAGATGAAAATTTGGTTAGATATCTGTGTACCCTTCCAGGGTAATGAAAAGCATAGTGGGTTGGGGTAGACTGAAGTATAACGACCCGATCTAAGAATGATCAACCAAGTGACTTTGAAAAACCAATCAGAAAACAAGTAATACAACATAGTTATAAAAGGATATCAATCTCTTCTATGTTCGTTCTAGGAATGTCACCCAATTCATCATTTGAGTTCCTATTGTTAGTCTAAACCAATTTCTCTACAGGAATTCGTTGAGATAACTGTATATCATGACATTTAGGGACCTATTTACCGCTCGAATCTTGTTTTTCAAATGCTCTCAGAATCCTCCTATTGCGTTGGTGTTTCCTGTCTGACGGGTGAACAAAATTAGAAGGATGATTTAGTGTTACATCTGCGTATATATGCATCCATCAATGGCCTCTATATATATCTGCAAACACGTGTTTGAGATGATGGGGGTATGGGATTTGAGTCTTTGTGGTAATACCATGACTTACTAGAGATTCAGGTATATCCAGATAGTGAGGCGCAAATAATACTGAATACGTCTACTGAATTCCACTGCTAATCACCATCAAGGAAAGTGGTTTTGGTTTCAAATAAATTTCCCTCAGGCTTTAATTGCGAATGAGAAAAATGTATTACAAATCTTTTGTTCACAACTTTTGGCCTAATTTTCTGTCTGAGTTTCAACAACAACGTCCCTACTTAATGCACCACTTATATAGTAGCGACCCAACCAATTCAAATGACTGACTGACTTTAAGGTGACCAGTTAGAATAATGTGTGTTTTTACATAAAAATGCCGTTTATTTACTGAGAAAATGCTGATAACCATTATCCAAACAGTAATTAAAAACGAAGTTGGGATGAAATTTGCTCCTCAATTCATGAACCGCGTTCTCATCGGCTCCCTTAATAATGGAAGGTCCCATTATCCAATGAATGACATGCGTTTAAGGTCATTGGTGCGTCCGGGCTTTTGGGTCGTTAACTTTACCGGATACTTATTGTTGCAGTTTTCATTACTAACTTATAGTCTCAAATCTCGTTAAACATATTTAAGTTTGTTCAAGGTAGTCAGGTAGAATCTGTTACATTTTACACAACAGATTTGGCTCACAGCTTTCTATTTGTGTTTCAGTGTGATAGTAGGCATACACTGTTTGGTCACTCTGTAAACATGTATGGGATGTGATGGCGGGCTCGGTAACAGTACAAAATATTAGAATAAAACTCCAGGTTAATGAAATAATATTGTAACAGTTTATTTATGAAAAATATATTTAACGAGTTATAGAAATTAATACTCTCAGGAAACCATCAAGTGACATCACTAGACAAGCCCTCGAGTGGGACCCGAAAGGGAAGAGGCGAGTTGGTCGTCCAGGGGTGACTTGGAGGAGGTCATGTGAAGAGGAGATGAAAGCATGTGGGCAGACTTGGAGCCAGGTGAAAACTCTAGCAGAGAACCGAACGCAATGGAGACGCGCCGCTGAAGCCCCATGTTCCTCTAGGAGTTAAAGGAAATAATAATAATAATAATAGAAATTAATGGTCACTTGGTGATACAGTTAAAGTCCGCTACTACAAATTATTAATACGATCCACAATAGTGTTCATTGCTGGAGTTGTGTCTACTGGTAGAAGCTGTGCGCCGGCTATAGAATACTCTCCAGCTGAGGTTGAGAGGTACCTGCAAAATCCAAAGGATACAACAGTGTTAGTGGTGAAGCAAGTAGACAGTATGCACCAGTGAGAAGACGAAGCAATGAGCAGCACACTATATTTTCGAGTGAACTCCAAAGTTATGTATATTTTACCATCAATCGTTTTAAACAAAAGTTATGTACACTTTTAACATCTAACAAAAATTGTACAATCATATTGTTCTAGATTCCAAAAACATTTGAGTAGTATTTTTTCATAAGATTTCTTGGTTTTTTTTCTGTGTATGAAGACTAATTATTTTTTAGTGCATAGATAGATGTCTCAAGTTAATTTATGTAAGCGTTTTTATCTGAAGGTGATTTCTTTGTCTTGCCTCGTATGTATTGATCTCAATAATTAAGTCATTTTGTCTTCTGTGCTTCACCTATGTCTTATTAACTTTTATATGGATGATTCCTGTTCACACTTCCGAGATTTACATATATATATTTGTCGTGTCAATTACTGGAAGAGACTTAGTCCGTTATAAGGCGTCGGTCTTGGAAATATAAAGGCAACGGCTTCATTTAAGTGAAATATCAGTAGAATTTTAAAGTAATTCTTCGTGTGTTATAGTTCAAGTTTAACAATAAGTTTATATTTTATGTTAAGGTAGGGAAGTATTTTGTGGCACAGTGGTTAGGACTCTCGCCGATCATGCACACGGTTCAGAGTTCGATCCCCTGCCAACGCACACCTGATATCTATCAATGGTCGGCCTGCAGAATTTGGGCTACCGATATCACATGCTGAAAATTCCATACTTGTATCAAAAATACTATGTGCAATCAAGCTATAATTAAAAAAATAACACGTGTAACTGGTAGTTTCGGAAATTCAAACTAACTTTTATTCAGAACAAGCGAAAAAGGTTAATAAAGCAGGATTTAATGAATTCATCAAATTTCGATAGAACTCTTCAGTGGGATGCTCTACATACAGAGATATAAATTTAGGATAAAATCTACTACGATTCAATTACATCAATTAAATAAACAATTAGCTATCAATGATTGAAAGAACCTGAATATATCTAGAATTTCAAACTAAATAAAATTGATGATAATAGTAATACTAATAATGGTAATAATCAATAATAATAATCCATAATAAATATCAAAGGTGGTTTTAAATGAATCAGAAATAGTAATAATAGGAGGTAGAATAAAACATTGTTCAGCATTTGTTACCACGGCGTGAAAATTGTGCTGAACGAAAGTGACGATATTCACACTCAGCTTGGTGTGATAAACCACCAATGTGAGCGATTCAAGTTAAAGTCGCTGACAGGAAATCATTTCAATGTCCTTATCTCCATTTGTAGTCTGCAGTCTTCCAAGTTTGCCGACATAAAAACACGATTTTTGAACAAACTTGAACAAGACCTGCAAATGACGTTGAAAGACATTGGGAAGAATATCAGCGACTAACCAACCTTCGCAAAGATAGTACCTTGATGCTGTCTGGCAGCCATAGTGTAGGTGAATTAAATGCGGTGCATACAGTACTGTCGATGTCAAACTCACTGCATGGTCCACAGCAGACTCCGCCTTCAGCATGCTGGCATTGTGGGACTTGGCACTACGTAAGATTATGCCCATACAAACACAATAAATGCGGATGATGCCACACCGCTGGACACAAAGATGGATATTTTAATTCACCGAACAAAGCCCAGAAGCCGACCCCGTCGAAGTCCACTGTCAAAAGCTATGGTTGTCACAGCTGTCTATCGCATCAGAATGCCCGCTCTACGTAAATATATTCAGGTGGAAATGGACTCGCGGCCGACACGTCTGCAAACAGACGCAGCATCCAGTATAAGGATAATATCGATCAGGTTATGGCAAAAATTGGGATGTCCCACTATGGAGAAGACAGATCAGGTAGCAGTTAGTGCATGTGGTGGAAAACTGCATTTGATTGGGTAGTTAAAGTGCAACATCAGGTTCCGTGAGATCCATTCCTAATGAAGCAAGAATTAAGGTTTCATTTGAAGCTATGTAGGCTGGAGGACCCTATTAACCCAATCAAGCAAACTAATAATTTAACCCACAAAATGTCTTATAGTGACTGTCATATCGATTGCAAAGTTTAATTCAATAGACTGAGGTTAGTTAGGTTATTGGAGCGTAGGAATTTAGCTAATCGTAGAATCTTCATCCACATTTATTCCTCTTTATGAATTTGAATAAAGCAAGAACAACAGTGGTTTGTGCAAGATAAAATGATACCATCATTTATTCTGTTGGCTTCTTATCAGTTGCTTACAGCCTAAACATATTATTGAATTTATGTGCAGCAACAATTTTGACATACTCAGACAGTTCAGGTTGAAACAAAAAATCGATGTATGCATACGATGGTAATAATAATAATCACTTCTTCGGTTACAACAGCGAGCTCGTAGACCATTAGGCCACTGGGACCTGATCCAATGGCCCATGAATTCAACTTCTGCCAATTCAATAATCTTTCTGATACTCTAAACAATAATAATCATACAGAATGAAATTTTCAGCATTATGTAATCAAGTGAAAGAGAGAGCAATGACATCCAGTTATTAGAGCAAGGAAAGACTAATAACTGCTTCTCTGTGAACACATAAACCAGGTTTCAACAGTTTGTTGGAGATGGTGTCATCAAACTTGAGGAGAATTTGACTCTTTTGCCTATAGATAATTTTGAAGAATCTTACGACTTCCACCACAAGACCCGTATCAAGGAGATGCCTGGCAATGGCACTGCTGAAAGCATTTGTTCCCTTGAGATGTAGGCTTTTTGATACATGTTCAGAAAATTGGAGGTGTGTCCTTCTTTCTGTTCTTCCAATATAACTGCTCCTCCTGATACACGTACATTTTTGTATATACAGTTAGAGTTAACCTGGGTAGGGTATCTGTCGACTTTTGATTGCATCATAGAGCATGTTGTCCGATAAACAGGATAGACTGGTTAGTGAGGTACTCAATCGTCTATTGATTATTCCTGCAATATTATCACCTTTAAAATCAAGTTGAATGAAGATAAGCTTTTTCCCCACTGTGATTTGTTTGACATTAGAGCCTTCACATCCCTCATACTTGTTAATGAATTTCTGAGAGTAGCTGCTGTTTTTGCCAACGTCTCCTAATTTATCTGTAGATTATATTCTCCTGACTTTAGAGAACAGAGTTTTTAGCAGTGCTCGTTTATAGCTATTCGGACAAAAACTATTAAAATGTACGTATTGTCCATTCCATGTTGGCTTTCGGTAAATTGACCTCTGGAGACTACCATCTTCCATGCGTTGCATAGCAATGTCAAGGAAATGGAATAATCCGACTAAGTAGGAAGCATGACTCTACTTTCATTGTTGCACACTACAAATGTGTCATCTACATATCGACAATAAGCGGTTGTAATTTTAGAATGATTGACCCCAGTAAGATAACTGACTAGCTTAGAGAAAAACTCAGCAATCGGAGTGCATGCACTAACACACTGTCATACATTGGAATGGGATAGGATGGAGCTACTGTTGTCAAAGGTAATATATGCTGGTGGGAGGAACGGATTAATCTCTGACTCGCTTTTTTCATTGAATTTACACCTAACACATGCAACAGGAATGACGCAACACCAATATAAGAGATATGGAAAACATTACTTCGAATACTATCAAAGGTTAAGAAATGATGCCGTATCACAGTGTGTCTTTATGATCTACAAGCAGCACACTGAAAGCTAAAGGACCCCCTCCCCTCCACTCCAGTTGTATTTAATTTTCTTCATTTTTAGTTTCCCTAACGATTTCATTGTAGTACTGCTGACTTCAAGAATTGATTTCTTATCTTGGAGTTATTATATTCCTAGAACTGAAGAGATCTTAAAAACACTGAAAGGCTGACAAGATCTTTTTCAGGAGTTGGTTTGTAAGGATTAGATTTGTTTTTACAAGTTTGACCACGGATTGATATCAGTTAGAGAACCATTGAAAACCAGCAGGGAGTACTGCCAGACAGCTGTTTCATCAGCCTAGTTTGGGAATCATCGGAAGTACGCACCTACACTACTGTCTGGGTTCGAACCCAGGGCCTTCTGGTTACAAGGCAAGCTAGCTCGTATACCATTCAGCCACTGGGACCCGACACCTCAATGCCACCCATGAATTCTAACTTCTACCAATTCGTGATGCATTTAGCGCGACTGGCACCAACCAATTTCATCGGTGGGAAATCCATCTCACACTTGACTGGGGTCGGATTTATGCCAGAGTCCATCCAGCAGGTGAAGGTTAGAGCTAGATGTCTTGTAACCGGAAGGTCCTGGGTTCGAACCCAAACAGTGGGTGGGTGTGTACTGCCGATGATTCCCAAACTAGGTTGATGAAACAGCTGTCTGGCAGTACTCGAGTGTTGGTTTTCAATGGTTCTCTAACTGATATCAATCCGTGGTCAAACTTGTAAAAAAAATCTTTTTCATCTACTGTGATTTCCTTTCTCATTCTGATTATATTAAGATAATGCACTTCAAACCAGTATATTACATGAGTTTGTCAAATGTCAGTAATAATTAATCGTCATGTATTATTATACTGTTTCTTCTTTTCTCTTTCTTTCCTGTTTATTTTCATATAAAGATTCACGATGGACAATGGCTGGAACAATGAGTTTAGTTGGTCTATTAACAGCTATTGGAGCTTTCATTGTTCATATCATTTTGACTCGGTGTAAAGCTAATCATAAATGGTCGAATGTACTCATTGAAGTTTTATTACTTCTAGCGGCGGGTAAGTGCCTGTATAACCCTTCCCCCCACTGAAATGAAGTATTATTGTCACATTTATTGATTAAAAATATACATGTTGAAATAGGGGAAGGTATTAACCAGTAATTGTGTTTTAGCAAAATTCAGTGGTCTCCAACTATCCATATCAATAAGTAGTATTTCGTGGAACACACGAGTGCTACTGATAAGATTTATCAGTAGTATATAAGGAGACGTTCATCGGCGTAAAAACATCAAATAGCAAGGAGATAGATTTGATGTCAGAGAAAGCAAATGATACAGCGTTGCACGGAGATACATGGGAGACGTGAAGGGAACACAAAGAAATACACTATGAAGGGAGGCCAGAAGTAGCACAACACGGGAGATCTGTGCAAGTGGTGATTTGAAGATAAGGTGTACATAATTTTGGCTATATAGCTATACCTTTACCGAGTCTCTTGTCTTTTACCGTTGCATATCTACGTTTTTCCTGTTGTTTGCAGTTCTCTTCACCTATCCCCAACCAATCAAGATTGCTCATAAGCTAAGCTTTCATTTCCTCCTCCCCCGCACACGATCTCCTCCATGTCATAGTTAGTCGGATGCCATACTCGTCGTTTCCAACTCTGATTCCACTGGGGTGATAGCACCCAACGGCCTTCTCATCTTGTTTCATATCCATCTCCGTTTTGTCCTGCATATTTGTCAAGCAATAGGTTATTGGTTGATCCGTTTCCAGAGTTCCTTGTGTCTAAGTCTTTCTGGCCATTTGATCCTCAATATATGGAGCCAGAGAAGGCAGCTGTTGATGAAAGTCTACACTTGCCCGGTGGAAATGCTTTCCATGAAGCGCCGCCCAAGTTTCTCACCCACATAGGACAACTGACTGACTGCCTTAATCTTGGTGTTGAACAGAATCCGAATTTTCTTGTTTATGCTCAGGCGGAGTGCAGAATATTTCCAAACTGATTTCAGAGTGATGAAGATGTGCCTTGCTTTCCGATCTGACTTGTTTGACATCTTCATCCATGCCATCCGCCTGTAGTTCAAAGGATGCTGCCTAGCCAAATAAGTGAAGGAAGTAACCTCTTTCAAATTTATTCTTTGGATAGCGGTTAGTGCTTGTTGTTATTGTTAATGGTGGTGGTGCCTGGGTATCGTCATCACTTCTGTCTTGTCTATGTCCACTTGAATTCCTGTCTTTGCCGCCAATTCTGCCAACTTGTCGGTTTTCACCTGTAGATCTTCGAGTTTCTGAGACACTAGACACATAAATCGTTCGCTAAGTCATGATCTTCTAGAGTCTTCTTATCGGTTCAACGTACTGCTGTCTTCTCGCTCCCCACAGGCCATTGAATGCAATCTCACGCTAGGCCCTCAAGTGGAATCCGAATGGTCGACGACGAGTTCGGCACAGGAGGAGATCGTGCGAGGAGGAGGAGGGGGAGATGAAAGCTTAGCTTATGGGCAATCTTGATTGGTTGGGGCTAGGTGAAGAGAACTGCGAAGAACATGGAAAAAGCGTATATGTGCTGTTGAAGTCGTGTGTTCCACTCGGAAGCCAAGGGAATTACATCCATAATAATAATAATAATAATCTCTCTAATTTCAACACTATTTCATTAGTCTGTAGTCTTTATTTCACTTTGACGAGGCTTATATCTTTGCGATCACTGTAATTAATGTTCAGACAAACAGATCCACCTAAATATGGTATCATTTTTTCATCAGTGATGAATAACTGAAACTGTATGTATTCAATATTATATGAGCACGAGGAAACTTTGTGAACTGATCTACACAACTTGATGAGTGGGTTAGAAATGTAATCCTAAATATATGGGGTATTGGATAGTTCTTGTTTTCTCCAGATACATTTAGGGCTTATAAGGCCCCGTTAATTTGATGTCCCACCCCTCCCCCATCCACTGGCTAATCAGCACGTATAATGCATACGTGTACAGGTCGTGAATAGCTTTATGGTAGGTTTACTCTCTGACTTCTGTATTGAGTGATGAATATCCAGATACTTGGAGGAAATATGAATTGTCAGAAGTTTCAAAGTACCATGTCTTAGAGAGTACATAGTTTCATTTAGACTAACTCTCTTCTCCAACATATGGTACCTAATTGACTGAAGACACCATTTAATTAAGAGACGAAATTCAGTTCATAAAAAACGGTGGGATATTAATAGTATTTCAGAGGATGAAGGATGTCGTCGAGTAGGCAAAATACGCTTATTTGATGATTAGGCTACAATATATATTCTTCAACTCCCAGGGTACTTGTCCTGCATGGGCGAGACAACTGTTCGAAAGGCAGATAAAACAGCAAATTAATCGTCGAAAATACGAAATATATTTTGGGATGAGAAACAAGATAGGGTATTCGAGTGTTGGTTTGTAGGGATTTAATTGGTTACAAGATTTCATCATGAGCTGACATTGGTTAGATAACCATCCGAAAACCTGGGAGTATTGGGCAGCTGTTTCGTCCTAGTTTGGGACTCTTCATCAGTACGCACCTACCGAGGTTCGAACCCAGGACCTTCTGGCTAGAAGGCGAGCCAGTTCGAAGACCATTAAGCCACTGGGACCCAACTCTTTAATGGCCAATCCGTGAATTCTAACTTCTGCCAATTCATGGCATAGCACGACCACTAGCCAATTTCTTTGGCGAGTATTTGTCCTCACACCCGACCTGCCTCAGCCTACTGGTCATGACTTCTCACTAGAACCCCAGGTAACTACCTACCTTGTAACCAGAAGGTCCTGCGTTCGAACCCTGACGGCGTGTGGGTGCTGATGAGGAGTCCCACACTAGGCTGACGAAACAGCTGACTGTCCAGTACTCCCAGGTTTTCCAATAGTTCTCTTACCAATGACAACATAGGGAGTTTGGTGTTTGGTTAGTGAACTAGAGAGTGCGTTCACGGATAGTGTGCCGAATGTGTTGTACCATCAGCTTAGCTTGTCGGTTGACTTAAACACTGAAGGTCAGCACCCACCTGACTGGTTGAATGATGAAAACTCAGAAGTGTTTAGATCCCTTCAATCTGCCTGGCTAGCAGCAAGCACTACTGGTCGATGTGAGTGTTAATTAACTAACTACTACTTGCATCAGTCGATCATTCATATATTGTATTTGAGCAGGATAAAATGACATCATTATATTTCGTTGGTTCCTGTCGGCTGCGTGAAACCCCTGACCACCATTTAATTCGATATCAACATGAGGAATATTTACTTTGATTGGACACTAGCAAGTAACTAGTGTGATGAGTCTAGTCCTCTTCCTATCTTTGGTGCAGACTGAGTTCTGTCGTCACTCAAGTTTGAAATGTGGCCACCATGCTAGGCTAGGTGGCATGCCATCACGGTGCACTCTGAATTGTTGACATATTAGATGGTTGGAGGCAATCGGACGGAAGCCTTGCCTGACCTAGTTTTCGTGCTAGCTGGCTGGCACTCACAAGTCAGTCAGCAAGGCGTATCTGCAACCACCCTGTAGGAGGGACTCATATCCCTTCTGAGATTCGAAACGGCGTCACCAAGTGCTGCAGTCTCAGTCAAAGACGTAACCACTGAGCTATTTGGGCTCGCGATTGACTTCCTGTAGGACTGTAGTGGATCCTAGCACGAAACCTAGGTTGAATGGAGCTTCCTGCCGATTGCCTCCAAACATCTAATATCATCAAATCAATGTGTACCGTGATGACGAGCTACCTAGTGGCATGGTGGCCACATTGCAAACCTGACTGACAGAATTAAGTCTGCACCAAAGATGAGGAGGACTAGACACACATGACACTAGTTGCTAGCGTCCAAACAAAGTATCGAATACAGTCCTGCAGGAGGTCAATTGCGGGGTGGAATAGCTCAATGGTAACGTCTCTCTCTGACTGCAGGTGGCACTGGGTGATGCGGGTTCGAATCTCAGAATGAGGGACATGAGTTCCTTCAAGTTGGTTGCAGATACGCCCTGAGACGAGTGCCAACTGGGACGAAACCCAGGTCTAAGGCTTCCTGTGGCCGATTGCCTCCAACCATCTAATATCATGCGAAATATTTAAATACTTTAGTTATTGATCGATCGTAAATAAAGGTGATGGATATTAATATCACGTGATCAAGTAGTATTAATGGAAAGGAATAAAATATGTGCTGAGTATAGATCGATTTCACTATGGAATATGAAGAAAATGGAGAGTTTCGTTTTCTGGCTGTCTCTCGGACCTTTACGATCTATAGATAGAAGTATACAAAGAAATATTGATTTTAGAATGGACTATATCTGAATTTCAGTAGCGCTTTTCCAATAAGCTACAAGAAAGTGTGGGGGGGGTTCTGGTGAGGACATTGTTGTGCTATCATACTGTGAAAAGTTTTGTTTGAGAAAAAAACAACAACTTAATAATGATGAGCTCATAATCACTGAATACTGTATACGGGACGATCGATATCCCTATTCCCTATTATTTACTGAAATGTTGCGTGTTTAGCTTCAACATTTACTGAGGAAATGGAATACAGTAAACCTGCTCTGATGATTGCTGTGAAGTTAAGATGGTTATCTGACTCAGTGAACCAACCTAATTAATATGCACTCCTTCCTTGCTGTGACTTAGATCCCAAAGGAGAGGAACTCCAGTACAGACTGTTTAGATTAGATGACACTCATCTGGTTATGATTTTCACTTAGTTGTGTTCTCTAAGCTGGTTGATTCGATTGTAAAGCTGTTGTTTTCCAGAGTTATTTAAGTACGGTGGAGACAATTAACTATCTGCGTTAACTAAGGTACTAGGCATAGTCTCGGAATCAGAGGAAGTCCCGTCGGGTTGGTGTAAGTCATTGATTATCCCGATATACAAGAAGGGAGACAAGTCTTCCTGTGATAATCACAGGGGGGGTTAGCTTGACTGATATGGTATCTAAAGTTCTAGGCTCAATAATAATGCGTAGACTAAGTGGTGCACGGGAGGAACAAACACGAGAGAACCAGGCAGGCTTTAGACCAGGAAGAGGGTGTATTGATCATATCTTCACCCTTCGACAGATTCTGGAACACAGGCATACTTACCGGCGTCCAACAATCGTTATATTTCTTGACCTAAAGGTGGCATTCGATTCTGTCGACCGAGAGGTACTGTGGCGATGCTTGGCTGTAAAAGGAATGCCGAGAAAATACATTGCACTGATCAAGACACTCTACTCGAACTGATGCAGCGAGCCAGGTGAGAGCTTACGGCGAGTTGTCATCTGAAGTGGTGACAACTAGTGGTGTCTGTCAGGGATGCCCACTATCCCCATTTCTATTTAATTTCATCATAGACGTACTAATGGAATTAACCCTAACTGACTTGAGAGACTCAGGGATTGACTTGTTACCAGGGAGGGAATAATCTTGTTGACTTAGTATATGCATGAGGATGATATAGTTCTTCTAGGTGAAGACGCTGACAAAATGCAGAGTCTTCTGAACAGATTGAGCTGCAATCTGTGAATGTTTAGCATGCAATTCGCTCCCTCTGTCAAGTGTAAGATGATGTTACAGGACTGGACTACATTGACTCACTTCTAGCTTAGAAATAGGGAGTGAAGTGGTAGAGCACATTGACCGCTTCGCTTATTTGGGAAGTTACAGCACCCAACGCCAACGGGTTAATCTCTGACGAAATATCACCACGGATACAGAAAGCTAGTTTCGCTTATGCGAGTTCACGCCATCTCTGGCGTAGATGTGATATCCGGCTGTCTACCAAAGGGCGCGTGTACTGCTCAGTAGTCTGCTCCATCCTCCTTTATGGCTGTGAGACCTGGCCATTGAGAACAGAGGACATGAAAAGACCGGCTAGCTGTCTTTGATCATAGGTGCCTGCGTTCTATCTCCCGTGTTAGGTGGTAGTATAATAGGGTGAGCAATATTGAGGTTAGGCGTCGGTCGAGTGCTAGGTATGTTGGAGGGGAAATCAATAGACGAGGCTGTGAAGTAACATAGATTGAGAGAGATGGTTAGGACATGTGTTACTCATGCCTAGCCTAGCCATCTCCTTCCTCGACAATGGGCAATATTAGCTGACATAGTGTCAGGTTAGAAAAGAGTGAGCTAATGGTGATCAAACCAAAACATGGCTTCATCAGTCAATGAAATCCATAACAGTTAGTTTAAGCCACGTAGGAAGATGTAGACTTCCTGGTTGGGGTCGTCGGGACGGTAAACACCAATAAGGCTGGAGACAATCGGTGATATGGCTCAAAATCGTTTTCAATGGCTGGCGCAGATGCATCCACTCCTTGTGACTTATAATTTCCAATGAAACTATATTGTTCTTCGATATTACTATTCCTTTTGTCTCATATCCCTGTTTACTGTTCTATTTTCATTTCTTCTCTTGCTTTGCTACATGGAGTGGCGACTTGAACTGCCACACATCAGTGCAAAGTTCTATGTTGAAACAGACAGACAGACGTTTCCTTCCCACCTACACAACATCTGCATGAATGAATTGTATCAAATAAGTTCATTTTATCCTAAAACCTGCTCTGAAGACGTTGTCTACAGGGGGGACGACAAAAGCTTTTCGGTTAAATCAACCAGCTGAGACAGTGAACACAACTAAGTCAAAAACCCATCTGGCTAGTTAATCAGAATAATTTACCGTATTAAATTGTGTTATAATTCACATAAGATAAAAATATTTTTCTGTAGTTGGTTTATAAGGATTAGTTTTGTTTTTACGAGTTTGACCACGGATTGATATCAGTTAGAGAACCATTGAAAACCAGCACTGGAGTACTGCCAGACAGCTGTTTCATCAACCTAGTTTGGCAATCATCGGTAGTACGCACCCACCCCACTGTCCGGGTTCGAACCCAGGACCTTCTGGTTACAAGGCAAGCTCAGGACGGAGTTTCCTGGAGTCAGTTCTAGTGAGAAGTCGTGACCAGTGAGGTCCATCCAAATGTCAAGTGTGAGGATGGATGTCCCACCGATGACATTGGTTGGTGCCAGTCGCGCTAAATGCATGACGAATTGGTAGAAGTTAGAATTCATGGGCTGGCCATTGAGGTGTCGGGTCTGTGTGGCTGGCTGAATGGTATACGAGCTAGATTGTCTTGTAACCGGAAGGTCGTGGGTTGGAATCCTGGTGGTGGGGATGATTCCTGAAATAGAACTGTCTAGCAGTACTCCATGGCGGGTTTTCAATGGTTCTCTAACTGATATCAATCCATGATCAACTTGTAAAAAAAAATTTTTTTCTTTTTACTGAAACGTTTTCTTCTCTCCTATTTTATTTCCAGTTATGTGTATTTTAGTTGGATTAAGTTTAGCTGAAACAGAAATTGAATATATTCATGATCATGGAGATGCAGATCTAACGCAGATGTTACTCTCGAACAGATTATTGGGGACAAAACCACCACCGTCATCATCGTCAGGAGCAGCAGGCAGCGGCAGGAGATGGATATACAAATCAATGGAGACTGGATAATCAGTTCAATAGAAATGATAACAATAATAATGCCAATACAATTCTTCCTGTTAGTGATAATAGTGCTGTGACCGGTAGCAGCACTAGTAGTGTCAGCAATCGTGATACAAACTCTGATCTATTAAGTTCAAATGGAGAATTTGCTTTATTTCTTACTCCACCTTTGTCTAGTTTCTTTCTGCTGATTTCAGCTAATTTTATCTTTCTACTAAGTTTTCTAGCTGTTCTCACCTATTTTGTACGTTTATGTGAAAAAGCTGATGAGGACAGAAAACATATGAGAAGTGCTGAAACAAGTCGGGCTTAAATGGCTTAAAAAAAATCTGTTTTATCTTGTGTTAAATAGGTTTACTGTGTTTATCTATCTATGTGTGTGTACGTACTACTGCTACTTTTATCTGTGAGGTTGTGTGTTTGTGTGTTGTGCGCATACACACCCACCCACATCCATACAGCTTGAAGGGGAGTATTTTGCGTGTAAGAAGAGGATGCGTTGGTGATTTTTAAATTGTGTGTGTGTGAGTACTATTCAATAATGATGCCTTGATTATATATGCCATACTTTCTTACACATTATTATTATTATTATTACTATTACTATTTTGAGTAACCCCTAACATTGGTCCTCATTATTTTCGGAATGCTCCAGACTGCTTATTTCCTCAATATGAAATTCTCCTTGCTTTGGGTATGTTGAATAATAGCGCCTTTGATCATAATAATCATAATGATATTGTGCATTTTAATCAATAATACATCACATTCTTGTTGTTTACTCTCTGCCTCTGTCTCTTTCTTTCTGGAACTGTGGAAGATTGTTATATCGCCCAGGTAGAATCTCAGCTGTACTGTCTACCCTTTTTTTAATGAAGTGTCACTTAGAGTTAAATTTGGCTGGAATAAAATCGATAAATTTAGGAAAGGTTAGTCCTAAGGTGTATACACGAGTATAAGTTCATTATGGATAAGATTTTATTTTGATAAAGTGTCACACAGTAGTGTTGTATAGTAATATTAATTGACCACGTTTCGAGCACAAATTATTGCTACTCATAATCATATTACGGCACTCACTCACACAACTTTCTTGCTTCATTTATATACATGATTGAAATCGATTAGATGTTTCAATAGAAATCAATATAGGATAATGTACATTCAGAAATAACAATAATCTGAGTGTTATTGATCAATTACAATCACATGGGAAATAAGACTAATGTTTTTATATTAAAAATAAGTAACTTGTTAGAATGTTGTGATGTGCTTGAAATGAAATAGAATTTTAAGATTATTTATAATCCTCCTCTGATTTGGCTGACTGGTGGTAATAATATCTTCTATATCTCTGGTATTTGCATTGAGTCATTTCTGTTGCATTTGTTGGGTGTAGACCCGATGAACCAGGCGGGATTCAGTAATCAATCTTTCTCGCTCTCCATTTACCTATATTACATTTTAGAATTTTGACTCTGTCCCACCCACCCTATTGTGTGGTTGTGTATTAGAGCAATGTAGTGCTGAGTTTTTTTCTAAATTACTCATCTGTCTTCGTGAGGTCAATCATTCTAATCTTAGCTAAATTCTTATGTTCTGATAATCTGACTACTCCTGATCTATTAGTTTGACCTATGTAGTTCACCTAACTCACAGTCATTGCAAGGTAATTTGTAAATTATCTTATTCAGTATAATTGGATCCAATGTGTCTTTTAGCCTACAGAGCTTGTCCTGTGTGAGTGAGTATGTAGGTTTAAATGCCACCCTAATTCTCGCTTTATTGAGAATCCCGCGCAGGGTCTCAGATGTCCCCTCCTTATATGGGGACATCAGTTTCTACCCATGTATATAAATGAAGTAAAAAGTTGTGTGAGTGCCTTCATATCCTTATGAGTGGGAATAATTTGTGCTCGCAACGTGATCATCAGTTAATATTACTGTATAACCACACTGTGAGATTTATCAAAATAAAATCTTACCCACAATGGAGTTATGCTCTACTACAGTGCCCAAGTTTTATACTTATATCAGTTATCTAAAGATATTCATTGATGAATACTATACTGCTTAGAAATATTATCAATAAAACTATAAGTGCTCTGAAACAGAGGTATCGCTCAAGAGAGTGAGACATGCATTAAATATGCTTTAAAGTTAGGATTTTGAAAACAAAGCAAAAAGTTTGGTTATGGACGGATTACACACTAAACTGTTATGCACAAGTTCAAAAAAAGAAGGTGTTAAGGTGACGGTAGTACATGGGATTGTACAACCCACATCTGTGTATACGCAGTTCAAAGTTCTCCATGAGTACAGCAAAGTGTGCTTACAACAATGGTAAACGGATTGTGAACTATGGGGTCGATAATGCAGTCTAGTGCTAAGCGCATATTTTGCGTGTTGAAATTATTAGCGTGAGTTCTGAAAAAAATTATACTGAATGGTTAGCGGGTTAGGGAAACAATCAGCTGATTACATAAAGTTACATACTACTGATAGATTGAAATCAGTAGTTGCAGACCAATCAAATGAACCATTAGCCAGATAGAGGCGATCTAAGCAGCGGACAACCGTTTCACTCGTTTGGTGTCGAGCTTATGAGCCGTGCACTCGGCTCGATTCTGTTCAGAAAGACGAACAGTTTTTATTATTCTTAAACCTGTTTTTATTCAGTAGTATTGTGGTGAGAGCTGTCTGCTAGCCAAAATTGGTAGACAGCAATTTAATTCAATGTTTACGTCCCAAATCTTGGTCATTAGAAAAAAACAAGAACAAAGATTAATTCAACAACCAATCACAGCAGACTTAGCGTGTGCAAATACGATTTGCAGATATATGGCTTAACTTTCTAAGAAACGGCTACAAAGAGATGACGGAATAACCTTCAGAAGGAAAACAACCAATCAGAAGATGCCGCTTCTCCGCTGACAATAATGTACATAAAAATCTATAAATATCTATTGATTTTCTCAATAAACGATCCGTTGCCTGACCCTTGTCTTCTGTCGTTACAGTATGTACACTATTACTTAACTCAGATATTTATCAGTTAACCTGGACTACAACAAACATGTAAGTCAAATTCCCCTTTAAGAATCAGTCAATGAGATTTCGCAACTGCACACACTGAGTTTTATATATGTTTCAAACATGTGACAGTCTAACGTACAGAAAGTTACTTTTCATCTTGTATTAAACAGTGGAAAAGCTGAAGATTCCTCTTCTCTTGAACATGTAATATTGATTGGTATTCAACAGTTTCTTATGTTTATTAATTTGCACCAATAGGGAGGGAGATTAGCCGGGTGGGAACAATTTGCACTTCAGAATCGGTAAATGGAGAGATCACAGGCTTGAGAAAGAAACTAATTGAAGATGACTACCCTACAGTTTATAGATAAGCACTAAAGACCCAAAGCCAACAGACAGAACCCAAGTTATATGACATGTGAATGTACTGTTCGAAAGTAATCTTCTGGCTGACTGTCTAAAGAAGAGGATATTAAAGGCCGTGGGAAAAAAGTTCTTTGTATCTACATTAAGATTGGCGTTCTCCTGTCCCCTAATGTTTCCAACAACTCGAAGGATATTTTCAAGTATTGGTTTTTGTAGGAATTTTGTTTGATCTGTTGGAGGTATTCATCATGAACTGACATCACTTAAAGAACCGTTGGAAAACCAGCTGGGAGGTACTGGACAGTCAGCTGTTTCATCCTAGTTTGGGGCTCTTCATCAGTACGCACCCACCACCATGGTTCGGACCTTCTGGTTACCAGGTTTTCCAATGGTTCTCTAACTGATGTCAGCTCCTGATGAAATCCTGTAACCGATCAAGCAAAATCCCTTCAAAATCAATACTTGAAAATTAATCCGATGCTCACTATCGACTGGCTCTATTGAGGTAGTGATCTGGGGTTCTAGTGAGACACCGTGACCAGTAGGGTACACTAGGTTAAAGATGAGGCAGTAACTCATCGAACAAGACATTGTGAAGTGGTCGTGCTATGTCATAAATTGGCAGAAGTTAGAGTTCATGGGCCATTGGATCGCGTCCCAGTGGCTGGCTGAATGGTTTATGAGATAGTTTGCCTTGTAACCAGAAGGTGCTGGGTTTGAACCACAGCGATGGGTGCATACTGATGAAGAGTCCCAAACTAGGCTAACGAAGCAGCTGGCTGTCCAGTCCTTCCAGTTGGTTTCCCAATGCTTCTCTAACTGATGTCAGCTCATGATGAAATCCTCCAACCAACTCGAAGGATAAACTATCATACCATGCGACGACTTCTTTGTGTATCTACGAAATCGCTTTCTACTGTGGACTGAGATATATAGGTCGTTAAATTAGTGTCTGCTCTAAAAGAGACAAATAACATTATCGCAATGGCTACAGGATAGTGACAATGTTTGAATACAGTGTGCTGTAATTGAACACACACATTTTACACAAGTCCCTCAATATCTGAGAAAAATGCATTCAAAGTCGTCCAAAAAACATCAAAAGGAGCCTTCTGTTAACTGTATGTTTCCGTATACTTAACCGAGGCTTCAGTCATTAGGATGGGAAAGCCTGATTGATTTATGAACACTGCTCTTATCCACGAAGCTTTAAAAACTATGTACTAAGAAGAAATTTGTTCGTTGAATTTCAGGAAAACTTTGAAATGAATATAGGAGTCAGACAAGCTGGGTGCCTATTATCATCCACAATGGTATTTCCACTTGTGGTGGACTGAATTATGCGTCAGATTGTGGGGTGTGAGGAGTTAAGAATACGCTGGACCAGCGATATGAAGACTCTAGGAGATCTGAATTTCGCAGATGACGATTTATGCCCATTGTCACACAAACTCGAAGACTTACAGAAAAAAGGCAACAAACTGGCTGAAGAAGCAGTGCAACGAAGACAGGACTTCAGGTGGTGAACAGAGAGAAGACGGAGGTGATGAAGACAACCAACCAACCAACATCAACAACAACAACCAGCACCAATCGCCATCAACG